ATGTATGCGATGATATGCACAAGACCAGATATCGCCTATTGTTGAAATTTCCGTTAAAACACTTTTGTTTAAATCTAGAAGTCAGTTAAATTCTATTAACGGTCTCAGACACGGCAAGTATACCGGCCGTTCCACTTGAAAAAGAATTTTTGTATTCCTGAGGAATGACAATGTTCAATTTATGTTATTGAAATTGCACAGGAAGAAAGTTGCAGCCTGCGCAAAGCACTTTGTTGGTGATGGTGGAACCACAAAGGGAATCAATGAGAACAACACAGTGATAAGCAGACATGGATTGCTAAGCATTCACATGCCAGCCTACTATAACTCAATCATCAAGGGTGTTGCATCGGTCATGGTCTCTTATTCAAGCTGGAATGGAGAAAAGATGCATGCTAATCATAATCTGGTCACTGACTTTCTCAAGAACACACTACGCTTCAGGGTAACAACACTGAACTCATCAGGGCACCATTGAATTCAAAATTATGAACGAGTCCTGAAATCCTTTGGTTTCTTGCAGGGTTTTGTCATATCAGATATGGAGGGAATTGATAGGATTACTTCCCCTCCTCATGCTAACTACTCATACTCCATTTATGCTGGAGTCACGGCTGGAATTGACATGGTAAAATATTTCAATTGTGTTGATTATGTATGATATCACCGTAATTGATATTCCACATAACATGTGTCATCTTCTAATACTTGCTCTGGTAATGCTGTAGGTAATGGTGCCCTTTAACTATACAGAATTCATAGATGGCCTAACCACACAGGTGAAAAAGAATATCATACCCATGAGCCGAATTGATGATGCAGTAAAGAGAATTTTGAGGGTAAAATTCGTTATGGGACTTTTTGAGAATCCTTTGGCTGATAATAGTTTAGCCAACCAGATTGGGAATCAGGTTAGTCAATCACAAGATGTATATAATATTGGCCCAATTATTTAAACTTTTTCTCCTAAAAACACATTTTTTTAATAAAATAATCAGTTTTATGCCTTTTTTATGAAACAATTTCTATCTATATATCTACCATGTTCTGATATAACTGTGTTATTTATCAATGTAACTCAACAGAAGCATAGAAATTTGGCTAGGGAAGCTGTGAGGAAATCATTGGTTCTATTGAAGAATGGTGAAAATGCAGATGAGCCACTGCTCCCTCTTCCTAAAAAGGCTAAAAAAATTCTGGTTGCTGGAAGCCATGCTGATAATCTAGGATATCAATGTGGTGGCTGGACCATCGAATGGCAAGGACTTAGTGGCAACAACCTTACTAAAGGTATATTATAGCTTCCTTCTCAACTTCTGACCATTTTGTATATCTTAGAGTCAGTTTAGGTACAAACTTATTTGAGCTTACGAAAGTTTTTCTATTGAAACTAAAGAGTTATTTATTTATTTATTTATTTTTTAAATAGAAAACTCCTAAAAATTTCTTCAAAGAGCATGTTTTGATTCACATCAATTTTGGTTGGATGTCCATTGGTTAAAGCAATAAATAGTTGCTTTTACATAAATTTTGATATGATTTTTGTCTAAACGTGGATCATGAATGTAAAATCAAAACATATGCTAAATTTGTATTAATATAGACTCTAGGCTGAAATGCAATATTGACAAGGCCTATATGATCTGCAGGTACAACAATTCTTAGTGCTATCAAGAACACAGTTGACAAAGACACCGAGGTGGTCTACAAGGAGAACCCAAGTTTAGAGTATGTAAAGTCCAACAACTTTTCCTATGCCATTGTGGCAGTTGGAGAGACACCATATGCTGAAACAAATGGTGATAGCATGAATTTGACAATCTCTGGAAAAGGGGCAGACACCATAAACAATGTGTGTGGAGGAGTCAAATGTGTGACTGTGATCATCTCTGGTCGTCCTGTGGTTATACAGCCATATGTTGATGTGATTGAAGCACTTGTTGCTGCATGGCTTCCAGGTTCTGAGGGACATGGTGTCACTGATGTGTTGTTTGGTGATTATGGTTTCAGTGGCAAGCTTCCAAGGACATGGTTCAAAACCGTTGATCAGTTGCCAATGAATGTTGGAGATTCTCACTATGATCCCCTTTACCCATTTGGATTTGGCCTTAAAACCAAACCCCACAAAGCCAATTAGGAACTGAAAATAGTGGCTTCATTTTCCTTTGTTTTTGTTGATTTTAGGGTCTAGTTTCCTCAGTAACGTGCATGTCTTTTTCTTTGAATATTATCCTTATATAATTTTTCTTTTTAATATGAAGGGCTTTCGGTTTAAAGTAAAAGGTCGACCTTTAAGTAAAAATTTAATATTTCTGTTTTTCCCTCTTCCTATTTATTTCCTTCTATTCCATTTCTACGGAAATAAATATTAAATGTTTAAGTTCACGACTTAATCCATCTTTCAGTGTATGCAAGAATGAACATTTATTTTTATAATTAAAATTTATAATAATCCATCTTCCACAGTCGAGTAGACCAAGGTAGTTCGATAAACACCTACAAAATATGATGACTTCAGTATAAGAATCGTAAAGTAACCATATACAATAGAGAAAACATAAAATAAAAATTGTAGAATAGATAAAAGATTAGAATTTTGTATTAGTTTAATTTTCTATTTGAATGTAAGTAATGAACATTACTTAGAATTTGAAGTTATGAAAATTAAAATGGAGTTATTAGGAGCATTAAAGGAAAAAAGTAAGTCAATAGCTGTGTATAATTAAAAGGAGTTGCTACGGTACCCTTAAAGATTGAAGAGTTTCAATACATTCTTTTATGTAAATTTATAAAAATTTTAAAAAAAGTAATTTAATTATAAAATGAATAATTCAAATTATATTTATAAAATAAAAAATAAGATAAAATTATAGAAATTAAAATTATAAGATTTTAATAATGTTATAAAACATTTAAAAAGAAAAAATTTAATAAATAGTAGAAATAAAAAATTATTAAAATTA